ACTTCAACTCCCAGAATTCCCCAGCCAGCTGGCTGGGGAATTCTGGGAGTTGAAGTCCACACCTCATAAAACGGCGGAGGTTGAGAAATACTAAATTGTTGCAACTAGCAAGGACCGTTTCACACGGACAGGATGGAGATGTTGGGACAATTTTCCAAACATAAGCATACAGGTAGTCCCCGACTTACAACAGTTCATTTAGTGACCATTGGGAGTTAACAGTGGCACTCCAAAAAGGGATGTACAACCGTTTTTCATGCCTAGCACATCATTGCTGCCTTCCTACCCGCCCCCATGATCAAAATTCAAACGCTCGGTGGTGGACTCATATTTATGACGGTGTCTCCTTTCATCGTCACCTTTTGCAGCCTTCTGACAAGCCAAGGCAGGTTCGCTTAACAACCAGGCTGCTGATATAACAACTGCAGTGATTCACTTAACAACTGTGGCCAGAAAGGTCGTAAAGGGGGGCAAAACTCACTAACTCGATTTAGTGTTCAATTGCGGTCGTAAGTTGAGGACTGTGAAGTATCCAACACCTCAACTGCAAATCTCTGGCCCATCCCTAGATGGCCCCAGACAGACCCCAGTCTCTCCGCACTGCCACCTAGTGGAACTTCCTAAATTTTGCAGCCAAGGGTGATGCAGTGGCCTAGAAGTGGAGCATTGTCACTTCATGATCAGGAGGCTGTGAGTTCAATCCTAGGCAGAGGCAGATATTTCTCTCTCTCTCTCTCTGGGCACGATGAGAATCTACCTGCCGAACAAAATTCCACATTGGCGACAGGAAGAGCATCCGGCCATTAAAACATTAGCAGAGCTCCACTGAGTTGCCCAGAGTCCACCCCGCGAGGGATTATGGAGTCGTCGATGATCCAGTAGCCCACGCACAGCCTTTTCAAGGCAAAGAGACTCCGGCTGAATGGAAAATATCCTAGCGTTCCTTCCTTTTTCCCCCTTGGAACTCTCATCCTTTGTATTACAAATTGATTTCTCAGATGCTTTTGTGAAGGCTGCAAAAGGGGGCCCCTCCTGGAGCTATTTGGGTTTCCATGGCAACTAATGGATATCCCCCCCCCCAAGAGAAAAGGGGAAATGTGGGAGGAGGAGTTGCTAATTTCATTTTTTTTTTTTTTTACCTAGACCAAAACAGAGGGGAGGGGGAGGAGGAAAGGGAGGGAGGGAGGGAAAGGCAGGGATGAAATCTAAGCAAT